CTTATGGACAGAAACAGCCCTGTCTGCTACTTCAAGAGGTTTAGCTGCAACCCTGGGGTGCAGAGGAGGGCAAGCAGTGTCCTCCTCTGGGAAGAAAAAAACCATTTTTAGCATCCAGCAGGAACACCAAGAAGAGAATTACATTGAATTGGTTTAGGTGGATGTTTATATCGTAGAATCCCAAAATGGTTTGGGTTGGAAGGGACCCTAAAGATCATCTCATTCCCTCCCATGGTTAAGGACACCTTTCACCATCCCAGGTTGCTCCAAGCCCTGTCCAACCTGGCCTTGGACACTCCCAGGGATGGGGCAGCCACAGCTTCTCCGGGCAACCTGTGCCAGGGCCTGCCCACCCTCCCAGCCAGGAATTCCTTCCCAGTATCCTATCTGACCCTGCCCTCTGGCAGTGGGAAGCCATTCCCTTGTCCTGTCCTTCCATCCCTTGTCCCCAGTCCCTCTCCAGCTCTCCTGGAGCCCCTTTAGGCCCTGCCAGGGGCTCTCAGGTCTCCCTGGAGCTTCTCTTCTCCAGGTGAACCCCCCCAGCTCCCCCAGCCTGGCTCCAGAGCAGAGGTTCTCATGAACAGGCCCTAGAGAAGAAAGGGGACAAACAAGACTCCTGATGATTTTATGGACATTTTTACTGTCAAGTGAGAGAAACCTTAGAGAAGATGGGGAACCTCAGCCTAGTTTAGATTGACAAAATGAGGGGGGATCTTTTTATTTCCTTGTTAACACCTCAGCATGGAAAACAGCTGGGATGAGAAAGAACCAGTTGAGCAAAAAAAGCCCAACCTCCCTCAAAAATCCAATTTTGTTAGAAGAAGAAACATGGATTAGATGGCTCATGATGGCTTTAAGATAGAAGTTCCTGATTGTGAGAACAAGCAGAGTCTGACACAGCAGATTATTAGATTAATAGGTTCATTTTTTTAATTTAAACCTTAAGAAATGCAAGTATTTTCTGTTCCTACCATGCTTCTCTGAAATAGGAAGAAGTGACAGTGAGCAGCTTGCTAAGAGAAAATCATTCAAAGCTAAAGATCATCCCTTTGGACCTCCACAACCAACCAGAGTTCTAATTGTCACTCTGGGTTTCATAAGATTTTTATACCCTATCATAAAAACATTCTGGTTTTCTAAGTGTTGTCAACTGCTTTGCAACACCTGCATTGCTTCAAGATTTCCAGTTTTGAGAGAAAAACATTGATTTATATGCTAATTTCTTAATAATTATACTCTGGTGGCAAGCGAAGATCAGGCGGTTGTTTGATGTTTACTTCCAGCTCTTCTTTTAAAATACCTTTGGGGAGGTGGGATGGAGTCTGGGTGATGTATTCCCAGTCAGGCAAAGGGTGGATGGCTATCTTATTTGGTTTTCCCCATTTCCAGGGTGCCACCAAGGGCTACAATGGCACCATCTTTGCCTACGGCCAGCAGGAAGTCATTCAGCACTCAGGGGTCGTGGATCCTTCCTCACAGAAGGGGATCATTCCAGAGCGATTGAACCCATCCTCAAGAGCATCCAGGTGGCTGGGAGAGAGATCCCCTTGAGAGGGTTTTACCAGAAAGACTTTGTTTGGTGTCACATCCCAAGGAGTGAGTGCGGATGGCACACGGGGGCACACACGGGGACAGGGTTTGGGGCGTGCTGCCTCTTGCCCTAAAGCTGAGGCCTGTACACAGGCAGAGCAGCTGCATCCTCGTCCCTGCTGGCTGGTGGACCTGAGGAGTTTAAGGCACAAAGGTCCCTTGCAGTGGATGTGTCGAGTGGCTCCCCCCGGGAATGAAATGCCGGCAGGGATCTCCGCAGGGCGCTGGGCACCCGGCTGCAGGAGCAGCTCCGTGGGGGCCTGTGCTGGGAGAACCTCACCCCGAAATCCTCCTGTGTTCGCTGGAAGTGCCGAGTTCCCGAGGAGAGCCTCCTACCTGGAGATCTGCAATGAGACCTTCTGGGAGCTGACACCAAGCTGGAGGTGAGGCAGAATTAATGCATCTTAATTAAGTGCTCTAATGAGCTCAGATAAGTGTTCCCATGACTGACAGAAGTGCTCTGTTGGAAGCTGAGCACCAGAACATGAGAGTCAAGTGAGGAATA